AGATGTCATATATATTCCTTTGTCAGTTGTACATTTATGTTGATGCATAACTTGAACTGTTATGCAATTTGATATTGTTAATCCCATTCATCAAGCCATGCTTGGTTTTTAGTAAATTTATTAATATAGCAGATATTTAACAAAGTTTTTTTGAGAGAGGTTCTTACTGGTTCTTCTGATGGATGATTGTACCCAGTACCCTGTCATTGTGGATATCTAGTGATTCTATGGGATGTACCTAAAGTTACAGATGAAAATGAGCCTGAATATGAATTAATAGTGACATCAAAATATATTTGATTGTGATAGTGGTCAGTCCATGTGTTTTTGTTGACATTTATTTGTATGTTATTCATCTGGACAGTATGATTTGATATATTTATTCCATTTTATACTACTGTCATATTTTTTTGTGTTACTTTTACAACTTTGGTTAATCTTTATAGTATGGACACACTAAGCTAGGGCAAAATAAAGATGATATTCTTGTGGAGGATAGAAAGTTGTAGTCACTGGTACAAGAGATAATCTGCCATAAAAAGATCACAGAAAGCATGTTCCTTAGTTTCAGCTCTATCTTACTGTGCATACCAAGGTGAAAATAGTGTTTGCTGGGGTTGTTGGGGAGCAGAACCCCCCATCACTCCTCCCCTCGGGCAGTCACTCAGTCATGGCAATTTTGATTGTTGTGATGTGGAGTTAGGGACCTAGTCGCTACTGAGTGCGTCTGTACTGTAAAGAGTTACCACAACTTTGTGGGAAGTAGTTATAAATCTTCCTATTTTTTTTCTTAAGTTGTAAAAGGTTTTGTAAAAAAATTACTATTGGGTTATCTGATATCTATTTAAGATTAACCTGAAAGGTATTCTGGTAATTTTTCTCTGTGCTTTATATCTTATTTTCTCCTTCATAGTTATATATTGCAAATTAGTAAGGTTCTGTCACTTGTAGAGGCTTGTGTGCATTAACATACTGTCTTTCTGATTCTCCAAACTAACAGTTGCTAGCATAATGAACATGCATAATGACTGAAGTGGGAAGTGGCCTAGGGTCGTCCACAGTGGCGGCAAATGGTTGGCGTCAGTGTCTGTACTGTCAGGGACGCATCTTCAAAGTCCCTAATGATTTCCTCAAGTGAGTGATGCATGTTTGGTTGCTTTTACTAATGATTTTTTTTTTCAAATGTTCCAGCATTGCATGTGAAATGCTTTACACATTTTTTGTTTTAGTATATGATTGCAAAAATAAGTTTGCATTAGCACACAGGTTTGTAAGCTTGCATGTGTGTATCCTTGCATTGGTTACATTGGAGGATACTGTATGGGATTTAGTTATAATATATTTGTCTTTAACCCATTGCCGCCGGGGATGGCATGTACGTACCTGCCATGCCCACTGCGAGTTGACTTGTTCGATTGTTTTTACACATAGATGGCTACACTTGTACTAAGTATCCAATGAGCCAATTACGAGTAATGCCTGTCTCGCCCATTCACCCTTTTCATCGATTTACGAAAATATTTAACATTATCCTAATTTGCTGTTAAAAATAACACCATCTATATTTATAGCACTAGTAAGAATACGTTTTTTCCCGCCAATTCAAGGACAGGTGAAATCAGGACTAGAAGAGCCATCTACTGCATTCTCCCCATTTTTTGTTCATTTTCCCTGGCGGCAATGGGTTAAGATCCTTTGAAAGTAAGTTTGGTCTTTATATCACCTTATGGAATATTTCAAATGACATTCAGGAAGCTGGTAGAATTTGTCAGTGTATGGTTATCATTAATCACTTCTTGATGATGGGTATCATGTACTCTCACAAACACATGCACTCGCGCATGCACATGCATACACATACACATACACATACACATACACATACACATACATTCAGACTCATGTATTCCACCATTTGATCATGTCAGACTGGCATTTATGTATCTGTCTGTGTTAAATGGTACTAATGATGTTAATTAAGATGACTCATCAGTATCATCAGCTTGCCTCCTTATCTGCTGCCAAGCAGTAAATGCTGGTGGTGGAAAATTATTATTCAGTTTTTAACAGCTGGTGTTTTTGATGTATGGGGATGGAATTAGGGCCATTTTTACAAGCTCCTTTAACTGTCCAAATCAAAGTAACAACTTTTCTTCTATGAGAGCATAAGGGCAGATGCATGGTTGGGTTTGATTGGATTAAGTTGGATTGGATTGGATTGGATTTGGCTGGGTTGAGTACTGCATTTTGATGGGTTTGGTTGGTTAGCTTGGGTTGGGTTTGGCTGGGCTAGTTTTGGTTGGGTAAGTTACATATTGGCCCTCTGGAAAGGAAAATGTATAGGCTAGATTTGGAAAATATTTGTTAAGGGGAGACATGGTTTTTCAAAAGGTATTTGGGTGTTTCACATGCATTTTATTTATTTTTTTCTTCTGTCATGAACCCTTCGGGAGTGTGTGTCATATATCAGTTCCACCAAGCAGTCAGGTTTGACAAAATC